GCATGAGGGCCTCAGGACAAGTAGTCTTCTGGGCTTGCCCCAGCCATGTTCCATGAGTTTGAGTGCTCTCTATTCATCTCCTTGAATGACCTCCGACAGAGAACTTTGGCATCTTCAGTCACTGTGTCAAGGAAAAGTAGTTGCAAGTAATAGGTTTTCCTAAAGTGAATAGCTGAAGAAAGGGGCCCACCAGTTGCTGAGACAAATATCTCGAATATTTCATCAATATTTCTCCTAATGTTTCTTCTTTCTTAGTTTCCAACAATAAGGAGATTTAATGATTTTTTCAGTTGTTCAACAGGCACTTGGAAATCCTTAGCAATGAGTTCCAGAGATTCAGCATCCACCCCAAAGGTGACTTGATAGTGGTTTAAATTCACCTTTAGCTTCTCCACATCATCCCTGAGGATGCCCACCATAGGAAGTACAGCCATGATTGCAGACATGCTAGCTTCCAACCAGATATAATTCTGCATAGACTTGCGTTTTCTGTCAATGGCTGCCTCCGTAATGTTAGGCAAGGAAAGCATAAAATTGTGGCGCTTCTGAGCAGGAAGATCCTTTATCAGGGTGTCCATCAGAACCGGAAAATCATAGGCAGAAAAATTGAGGTTAGAGATCAAGAAAATCTGTGGTGCATCCATGTTATTCTGAGTAAAGGTGTTCTTACAGTAGCTTCTGATCATCTGCAGGATCTTTTCTCTGTCAAATGTGCATGGTTTGCACTTCTTTTCTTTGTCTAAATCAAAGTCTACCTTGGTTTTCACAAGGTAGTAATTCTTTCCCATCATTCTGATTGCTTTGGCAAGGTCAAGTTCAAGTTTTGTAAAACATGTGGCAGAAACAATAATAAAGAAGTCATACTCTTGGAATTTCACTTTCTCCAGATAATCTTTCGGTGGAAAGTTCATAGTTCCAATGCCAGGCAGGTCCCACAAAGTCAAAGTTTTAATTTTGGGGTGACTGTATGGAGTTCTCTCCATATTCGTCTCCACTACTCCAACTTCAGCTGCACTTTTGTCTTCATGCCCAATTTGTTTCAGGGCATTGATCAAGCTAGACTTCCCTACTCCAGACTCTCCTGTCACAGCAATGCTTATTGGGGCATTATCAATATTTTTAATGCATTACTGATTACAGAGTGTACCCCCTGAATGTTTCCATTTTTCAGATTATACTCTATTAAATGGATGGTTTCCTGAGAAATGATTTTATTTTCTCTCTTAATGTTCTTAAAATATGCAGTGAAGTCAGACACCAATTTTCCATAGCCTTCTTGATTAGCTGTATCAGTGGAGGACTGAGCCATGACTGTTATAAAAAAGTTACAGAAAGAAGGAAGGAAGAGTAAGTTGCAAGAGATCAAGGATGCCTTCATCCTTAGCACTGCGTTCCTTTACTATGCTGCAGCCTTAATTAAGTAATGATATTGACTAGTTCCCATATATTTTTGCTGATTGATTTGTTTTTGTCAACAAGATACAAACCATAGTACTTTTCGAGGCAACAGCTTCAATTGAAGAATTGCCCCCATCAGAATGCACTGGGGGTTGTCTATGACATTTTTTCTTGATTGAGGAGTGATATGGGAGGTCCCAGCCCACTGTGGGTGGTTCCATATTTGGGCAGGTAGCCCTGGGTAATTTTAGAAAAAAGTATCAAACTATGGGGAGCAAGCTATTAAATACCATTCTCCTGTTGGTTCCACCTCTACTACTGTACAGTTTCTGCTGTGACTTCCCCCAGTGATGGGCTGTGATCAAAATGTGTAAATGTCCCCAAATCCTTTCTTTTCAAACTGCTTTGGTTGTGGTGTTTATAAAGCAATAGAAATGAAACTAGAATAAACTCCTACTAGCTCTCATGCTTCAGGATATTTGACCGCAATGTGACCTTCTGATTGTTTCAATAAAAATCAGAAGGGAAATAGAATAGCTAAGATGGAGAGACAAGGCAGGACTCCAGGGTGAGAGAGAATTTCAGGGAATGAATCTAGGTGGTTAGGAGATGCCAGTTAGACTCTGAGGGTGTGGGTTGTACAGAATGGAGGAGAGTTAAAGAGTCATGTAGCAGAATGTAGATTAATATGTAAGGGTTAAATTAAGTTTTAATAGCTAGTGGAGAGCAAGACTAAGCTAAGGCCAAGCTTTCATAATTATGAAGAAGTCTCCATGTCATTATTTGGGGACTGGGGTTCCAAAGAACTTTCAACAAGATAGACTCATTACACTCTCAGTTAAACCCTTAACTATAGAAAAATTAAAACATAGAGTGAGGAAAATAATGTTAATTTGTGCATGAGTTCTTTAACTAGCATCAACAACTATAAAACCATGAGCAACTGTGCTGCACTGAACCTGAGTGGAGTATTGTATATCCAATCCAAGGTATCTTCTCCATTAAGGTATGTTGATATAATGCTGTCAAGATACCTTCTTCCTTCAGTGTGTGCCTTCAAATGAATGGAAACTTAATCAACAAACATCTAGTTTCTCAAGTTGAAAAATAAGTAATAAGGAATGATAATTGATATATATTTAATCAGTGCCAAATCTCTAATGATCACATGAATCAGTTTTGTCTGTGTTTTGATATTGTCAAAAGATGTCAGTAAGTCCAGCTATTATTTTTGCCTGAAATAACTTCAATTTGCCTAAATTTACTTTCCTTCTGTCTTTTTTATGACACGAAGGTCATTTCCATGAGGAATATAACTTACAATAACATAAAACTTATTATGCATAAAGACCATCTTAAAATCCATTTATTCAATAGATATTTTAGAGTTCTCAAGTCATCATTAAGATTAATTGTTTTCTTTTAATCTTTTACTTTATGAAAGCAATTTAACTGTGCACTGCAGATGTAGTCATTTGGGAGAGATATTTTCCAGTGTGAATAAAGCCTTGGGTTCAATCCCCAGCACCTCCTCAAATGCAGCTGCTTATGAATCCCTTTGATTCTGGTACTCAGGGAGTAGATATAAGATGGTCAGTCCCTCCAGGTCATCCTTGATACATAGTGAGTTAGAGGTTAGCCTGGGCTCCTTGAGACCCTGTCTAAAAATATGAATATCAAATTCAGCAAGATTACTCAGCAGGTAAATACTCTTGCTGTCAGACATAAAGACCTGAGTTTGATTGTTGGGTATTTAGATCAGATCTCATATTTCTTTCCTTTGTTCTCCATAATCCTACCCATTAAACTTCCCGTGGCAGCACAATGGACCCCATAATCTGCTAAGGAAACAGCAAATCTCTGTTGTCATCCTGGAGCTTCCATTCATGTCAAATCAGTTTGCAGTTTTAGCCTCTATTTCCAAATCCAATTACAAATGATTATTTCTCCTATATCATCTTCTTCAAGACTTCCTCAATCCCAGTTTTTATATCATCAACATTACTGTATTTCCCATGGTTGTTCTTGCAACAACATGAATGATCAAACAGCGAGAGTTATCCTATTGACACTGAAGTCTTGTGATGTCAACTTAATTCTAAGAAATACTATAAGGATACCATCTCACCCAGGGAAAGTTCATTACGTATAAAGTGCAATAGGTTCTACTTCAGTTATGCAGGCTTTAGTTTTGCCATTAACACTGGGAAATAATATTGTACCCAGCTTTATCATTCACCATCATTTCCTTAGGTTTTTTTCTCTCTACAGCACTCACTGCCACATAATGTGTGTCTGTCTAGGATCAGTTGCTGTCACCCTCCTACAGTATAATGAACTCAGATAACAGAATGTGCCTTTGTCTTGCTCACTTCTTCACCAACACACAGGTATATGGTAGTTTATAACCAGGGAATGAAGGGGGAATATGAGAAAACACTTGGATTTTATTGTGAATATTTGTGCCAGTTTGTAGTTCTAACTAGTCAGTGGAAAATTGAAGTGTTACTACATTCAAAAAAGAGTGTGCAAAGAGTCTGGTGAGGGCATAAAAACAGTCTAATATTAAAGAAGGTTCTCCATAGACCAACACTGAGCATAAGTGCCTTCACAAATACACACTCACTGAATAGGCACCCCCTGTCCAATGCAAAGGACAAATGGGGAGCTGTTTGCAGGATACCAGAATTGCAGAACTGTGTTTAAACTGACTGCAGATCTAGGTTGGGAAGTTGTGGGTAAAGAAATGTCCTCAAAGGAAAGCTAAACCTGGTTAAATAAACAACATTGCCTGATTTACTGTTGAAGGTGACAGTCACCCACAGGACAGACACGATGTCCCTGAAAGCACAAATGCTGTTCTCATCTTTTCAATTTTCCTCTCCTTCTTTCAATTCTAGCTCCCAGATTTGTGACGCAGTCTCCAGTGTGATAGGCGTCTGCAAGGTCTTTCCCCTGAATATGAACACCGGGAATGAGAAGGCTGCGACACAGCAAGCATTACACAAGGAAGTCTGCCTAAATGACAGCTGTCACCACATCCTGACACAGCTCAGGTCTCTCACAGATGGAGAGAAAATCCTTAGCACCCTGCTTTACAGTAAAGAAAACCACGGTGAAGATGATTCTCCAGACACAGCTTTCCACAGCCAGCTACAGCAGAAGCAGCACTCAGAGAGACCTCTTCTCCACAGGCCAGAGGCCTCTGGATATAAGGAATTAAATAGTTGACCATGAGCCTGGAAGCAAGATGAGCGTGAGATGCAGCAGCCTCACACACACTGCAGATGTTCTTGCACCTGAGGCATCCATTTACAGTCATTTTAGGAGAGGAATAAACCAAACCAAACCAAACCAAACCAAATGGACACGTTTTACCTACGCTAACATCCAGATCTTGTCCGTTAGCTCTACCTCAACTGGAAGGATTGGCTGAGACCATCCATGAGGCAGTCCTCTCCACCTACCACTAAAGCACCCTAGCTTCCATGCTAAGGATACCCACTCTCAGGCTGTTCCTAAATGTCTTGTTACCTCTCAGTGCTTTAGAGAAAAGAGTTAGTGAGGGTTAGAATTTAGATCTGAATGCTCCTGTCCCTTACCAGAATATCCTGAGTTAAGCGTATGTGCTCCCTGTAGTTCAGTTGCAGGAACCACTGTCCACTGTGCTCCAAACTCTTTGTACAGACCCACCCATGCCTTCTCTGCAGGACTTACATACTCCTCTGACTTCTGCCCCTCCCCACTTTAAGGGTGTTTTGTCCAATCACGGAAGAGCATGGATCTAGTTGCTTTTCAGAATCATCTGGGTTTCCAAGAAGAGGAAAGGTAAATAAAATGAACAGCTGTTTGTAAGTCTGTCAACACTTCATTTCTTGGCAGGAAAATCTGGCTTTCTTAAAATAACAATGTGGAATGGGGCTTGTACAAAGAAGGGGAACACAGAGAAGCAGCTTACTAGCTGGTCTGGATAGCAACCCTTGAGAATTACTTTTCCTGACTCAACAAATGCAGCCTGAACTAAAGTGACACAACACATTGGCTGGGTCCTAACGTTGATGCCAATTTTGGTCTCAACCAAGAAACAACCCATTTGATTCCCTCTGTATACATCGTTATTTATTCACAATTATAGATTCATGTTCATTAATTCTTGCCATTGTCAATTCTCCTCTCAATGCTGGGATTAAATCTGGCTTGGGTTTGACAGTTCTTTCACATGCCGTCACATTCACAGTCAGTTTATATGTGTGAGTGCTGTAACTATGTAACCATTGTTCAGGATTCAGAGAGTACTCAGAGCCCTTCTGTTTCCCTTTTCTTCAAGAAGGGGCATACTATGGTTGGGGCTAAAGGTTTCCCAAAGAAAAGTTCATTGGTCACCAGAATGGTGCTTTTGGGACATGGTAGGACCTCTAAGTACTGGGACCTAGTACGAAGTAGTGGGATCACTAGGGGCATGCTGTTGAGGGGACACTGGGACCTAGTCCTATTTCTCTTTCTCTCTCTTGCACCTCTCCCATGAGCTGAGTGTGTGTGTGAGTGTGTGTGTGTGTGTGTGTGTGTGTGTGTGTGTGTGTGTTTCCCTTTCACCTATTCTCCACGGTGATATACAAGTGCAGATTAATAGCAATGGGGCTATGTACTCTCAGATCACAGACACTGAAGCTGTAGGCTAAAAGTAAATCCTTTTACTTTGTGTGATGATTATCTCTGATATTTGTTATAGTAACACCAAGTTGACTAACATGAGGCCTCTTGGCTTATAGTATGATAATAAAGGAAAAAAATCTTGATGGATTTTCATATGTTGAACCTTCACTGCATCCCTGGAATGAAGCCTACTTGATCATGGTGGATGAGTTTTCTGATGTGTTCTTGGATCCGATTTGACAGTATTTTATTGAGTATTTTTGCATCAATGTTCATGAAGGATATTGGTCTGGAGTTCTCTTTCTTAGTTGTGTCTTTGTGTGGCTTGGGTTATTAAAGCCTCATAGAAAGAGTTTGGCAAAGACCCTTCTGTTTCTATTGTGTGGAAAACTTTGAGGAGAATTGGTATAAGCTGTTCTTTGAATTTCTGGTAGAATTCTGCACTGAGGCCATGTGGACCTGGATTTATTTTTGTTGGGAGACTTTTGATGACTGTTTCTATTTCCTTAGGTGTTATAGGTCTGTTTAAATTGCTTATCTGTTCTTGATTTAATTTTGGAAAGTGATATCTATCCAGAAAATTGTACATTTCCTTTAAATTTTTGAATTTTGTGCAGTACAGATTTTCAAAGTATGACCTGATGTTTCTCTGGATATCTTCAGTGTCCGTTGTTATGCCCCCATTTTCATTTCTGATTTTGTTAATTTGCATGTTCACACTCTGCTGTTGGGTAAGCTTGGATAAAGGGTTTTCTATCTTGTTGATTTTCTCAAAGAACCAACTCTTAGTTACAGTGATTCTTTGTATTGTTTTCCTAGTTTCTACTCCATTGATTTCAGCCCTCAATTTGATTATTTCCGGCATCTACTCTTCTGGGCTGAGTTTGCTTCTTTTTGTTATACAGATTTCAGTTGTGTTGTTAATTCTCTAGTGTGAGTAGAAATTCTCCAGTTTCTTCATGTGTGTACTTGGTGCTATGAACTTTCCTCTTAGCATGGAGAAGTTAGTTGTACTTCTTACAGGTTTGCCTTTGGATGTTACTTGACCTTTTTTTCTTAACTGTTCTTAATATTCTTTCTTTATTCTGTATGTTTGGGGTCTTGATTATTATGCAGCGAGGGGATGTTTGTGTGTGTGTGATCCACTCTATTTGGTGTTCTATAAGCTTCTTGTACCTTCATTGGCATGTCTTTCTTTAGGTTGCGAAAGTTTTCTTATATGATTTTGTTGAATATGTTTTCTGCTCCTTTCAGATGGTTTTCTTCACCTTCTTCTATACCTATTATTCTTAGGTTTGGTCTTTTCACAGTGTATCATATTTCCTGGATATTTTGTGTTAGGGATTTGGTGGACTTAAGATTTTCTTTGGTCGATGAATCTATTTCTCCTAGTTTAATTTCCACACCTGAGATTCTCTCTTTCATCTCTTGTATTCTGTTGATTATGCTTGCATCAGTAGTACCTGACTGTTTGCCCAGCTTTTCTATTTTCAGCACTCCATCAGATTGTGTATTTTTTATTGTGTCCATTTCAGCTTCCAACTCTTGTACTCTTTGAATTGTTTCTTGCAGTTTTTGCTTTGTGTTTTCCTCCCTTTCTTGCAGTTTTTTGAATTTTTTGTTTGTTCTTTCTTCCATTTCTTTAAGGGATTTTCTTATATCCTCTTTGAGGGCCTCTATCATTTTCATGAAGTTGATTTTAAGGGCATTGTTTTCTGCTTCATCTGCATTGGGGTGTTCAGGTCTTGCTGGTGTATAGTCTCTAAATTCTGGAGGTGCCATGTCGGTATTTCTGTTGCTGAACGTATTTTTATATTTTCTCCTTCCCATCACTTCTTCCAGTGGGTGCAGAAGGAGTCTCTTCCTCTTCTGGTGTGTACATGATCACGGTTCCCTTCCGTGGGTGCAAGCAGGTCCGATACCTTGGTGTCTCTCCTCCTGTGTGGATGGAGGTGGTCCTTGTGTCTGGGCCTTGGCAGTCTTTGGGTAGGCTGGACCTGGTCTCTGGTGGTTCTGCTCAGGGTACCAGAAGGCAGGCTGCAAACAGGCCCATGCTTACCTCGCCTGTCCCGTTGGTGGAAAAAGGGACTTGGACCCTGGCAGTCTCTGGGTGGACTGACTCCCAGGGGGATGGGGTGCCCAGTGTGCAGCCCCCTGGTCACAGCTGGTTGCCCTGGAAGTCAGGCTGGAGACAGGTCCAGACCTACCTAGTACTGTGGGTGGAGAAAAGGACCAAGGTGTTGTCAGCCTCTGGGTGGGTTGACTCCAGCCAGAATGGGAGCCGCAGTGCCTAGTCCCCTGGCCTTGGATAGTTGTGCACAGAGCACCTGAAGGCAGGCCAGAAACAGGCCATGGCATACCTAGTCCCATGGTTGGAGAAAGGGACTATGGTGCTGGCAGTCTCTGGGCAGACTGAATCCCATTGGGATGGGATCCGCAGTGTGCAGTTCCTAGGCCTCCGGTGGTTCTGTGTCTAATATACATATATATTTTTTAAGCTTGTAATCAACGTCATTGTTTTCTCGGGTAATACAAAGTCTAGATAAAATAAATCAAGCACCAATGTAAACTCTTAGAAGTCAAGTACAGATGGGATTATTGTGACTTCTCTAGACTGTCCTTTTTAGACTGTAGGGTCACACAATGAATTCAAAAGAAAAAAAATTTCCCAAAGCTTTTTATCAGAAAGCCACATAAAGACCCTTGTTTATTAATCAATGTCCAGGGTCATAGAATATAGAGAATATTATTCGCATGAAATACTACAAAAGATTTCTTAAAGTAACACCATTTACTAATCAAATAAAACCATGATTCTTCTACTACAGGAGTTTAAAATGGATACTGGGGAAGCAACTAGAAGTCTTTGTTATTCTTTTGGACAGAAAGCCACAAGCAACCAAAGGATCTACACTAGGAGGCTTCATGCTTTGACCAAAATACATTTGACATAGGTATACCAAAAATACCCATATTACCCAGTGCATAGCATCACATAATTCTAAATACATCATTGGTCAGGTTAAGTTTTACAAGGGCTTATCTTACCGAGGACGCCCCTCTTCCTGCGGACACATGGTGACTCTTCACCCTTGACTACATTTCCCCAAATCCTCCTTGACTCCTATTCCCACCTATTGCTTCCCTATTGACCAACAGTGCTTTATTTATCGACATATACACAGAAGGACTTCCCCCATCAATACAAAAATTCATTAGTAAAATTCCAGACTCAAAAATGTTTGCTCCTTAGAGATCTGTTTTAATGTTGTATGTTCTGTTGGTTTAAATTTTGGTATGTCATATGTGTCTAGAAGTTTCTCCATTTTTCTTATAGTTTCCTAGTTTTTCTTTTTTTCAGAACTTACGTTTTCAAAGTACTCCTCAATGACTCAGCATTCTCTCATTAGTATCTGTTGTCATGGTCATTTTCTCATCTCTAATTCTATTAATTTGTATCTTGTTTTGTTTTGGTTAGTTTTGCTAGAGGTTTGTTAATTTTGCTTATCAATCTGAAAAACCAAATCTTTGTTTCCTTGGTGTCTCCAATGTTTGGCGAATGTATATTTACAATAGTTATTATTTTAACTTTCACTTATTATTTATACAGTGTCCTGCCTGTATGAAAGTCTGTAGGTCAGAAGAGAACACCAGATCTTGTTGCAGATGGCTGTGAGCCATAATGAGCTTTCTGAGAATTGAACTCAGGAACTCTGGAATAGCAGACAATGCTCTTAACTGCCAAGCCATCTTTTCAGCCCTACAATTATTATATGTCCATGACAAATTGTTAGCCTTCATCATCTCTTTTGACTAGTTTTGGTTGGAAGTTAATTTTACCAGGTAGCAGAATAGCTATGACAGGTTATTTTCAGTTTCTGTTTGCTTCATGGATCCCACTGCCCTATGTTTTGATTATTAGTGTGCAGGTATCTTTATCAGTTAGGTGTTTCTTGAAGACAGAAAGTTTTTTAAATTAACCTTAATTCTGTGGTCAACTTCAAGGCCTTATTTCCATGTAACATTACATATTTACTAGTTCCACAGACTAAAATTTAGACAAATTTCTAATAATCTGCCTGTCACAGAAGCAGAGTACCAATAAAATTTGTCTCTAGTTTTATCTATCCGGTCATCAGCTAGTTGTGTGTGTGTGTGTGTGTGTGTGTGTGTGTGTTTAGACTGGTTTCAGCCATAAATTTCATTGTCTGAAGATTTGAGGGGACTGCATGTATATGTAATGATTTTGCATCTGGTGAAGCCCAGCTTTTGTCCTGGGCTATTTTTGTACCAGCAACCTACATCTTTTGCCTAAGTGTATTTGCTTCTGTGAGTTTGTAAGCAGGTGAGCACCTCTCTGGTGTTTGTTTGATCTTCCAGGTCTTCACCCGTTTCATCTGGGTGGATGTACACTGCAGTTTGGAGATGAATTATCACCGAATTTTCCACCTTCCACTGCAGGGCATTTTGCCAATTCTCTTGGTATTCACCATCTCTTTGTATCTACACCATCAGCCCAAGGTGTAGAGTGGCATGGAAGGCTCTCTTTCCAGGAAGATTGTCTTCAGTTCAAGTTTTGTTTGGCTGAGTTTGCTCCTGGAGGTCTTAATTTTTCTGGATTTAAACCCTAGAACAAGGGAGGAGTGGGTGCAAGGAGTTTTCCTTCCCCAGGACTTTCTTCAGGGTTCTGAACTGACATCAGTTGTCTCATTATTAATCTATCTAAGCAGTGGTTTCCGGAAAGGTTAGAATCACTCCTGTGTGGGAGGGAGACCCAAGAAGTGAGAATTTACATAACTGCATTGTGGGGACATTGGACAAAGCCTGGGGTCATTTCTATTGAGATTGATGAATTTTCTAGACTTATCCTGGGCTGAATAAATTAGGATATGTCACATTCTACACAGACGATCATGTGGTATCCATGTGATATTTGTCCAGTTAGTTAGTGGTGGACACATTTGAAGCTCCCTGATCTGACCTTGACTCCTTTGCTGGCCATTAGCCTGGATTATACTGTCACTCATCAAGCTTCAAAGTGTTGCTGGTCTCAGCAATTGATACAGGATGCCAGTTGTTAATGGAACTGAGCTGATTTTGTGTTTAGGTGACATGACCAGCTTGTAGTTTGAACATGGACCCCTTTCCCTGCTCTGTCTATGCAGAGTTAACTCTTAGCACTGTTACCAAAACATACCTGTAGTTTTCCTCAGTTACCACACAATTAGCTCATTGTCTGTGGGGTCGGCTATGGGTGATCTTCCTGGAGTAAGCAAAGGTCTTTTGGAAATGGTTCTTTTTCAAAATTAATTTGTTACAATTAGCCGGGTTAGAAAACAGGCTTGGCAAGTGGGCAGTGGTGCCTGGCCAGTGTTTCTCAGTGTGTGTGGTTTCTTGGGAGCTAGTGAGAGCCTGCTAAGAAGGTAAAAAAACTGCCTTTTATTTTCCTGATTACCTTGGCCTTCTCATGGCTAACTGCAATCCCTTTTATTTTTTTCCTAAGTGTTCGAGGCCATAACTTTCGGCCCTAACATCCCTGTTTTTACCATCAACACTTTTCTATGCTTCATGGCTCTCTTCCTCTTTGCTCTTAGTGGTTCCAGCACCTTCTTCTTCATCCCTAAAGTCCACTGTTTGTTCTTCCTTTGTCATAATGTCCTTGATACCCTGACTCTTCATTTTCAGAGGCATTGAGGGCATGTTTCATCTGTTATATTTTCCCTAAAGCCTAAACTGTCATTTTAAATTAATTCATTGATTTATTGAGACCCAAGGTCTATGGGTTTTTGCTTTTTTGCTTTTTTTGAGACAGGGTTTCTCTGTGTAGTATTGTAGACCAGGCTGGCCTTGAACTCATAGAGATCTGCCTGCCTCTGTCTCCTGAGTGCTGGGATTAAAGGTGTGTACCACCACTGTCTGGCTGTGTTTTGTTTTAATACATCACCAATTAAGCACTGAACTGAACCCAAGGAACCCAGTGACAGAGAGAGAGGAGTGATGAGCAAATTGACAAAGAAAGGGCTGGCAAAACCAGCAGAGACAGCTGACCTGAACAGGGGAGAGCCCTTGGACCCCAGACTGAGAGCGGGGAGGCCAGCATAGGACTGATCTGGATCCCCCAAATGTGAGTGTCAGTGAGAAGGCCTGGATAACCTATGGGACCCTGAGCAGTGGATCAGTGTCTATCCCTGGAATACAAACAGTCATCGTGTGCCCATAGCACAAAGAAGGATGCTCTCTCAGCCTGGACTCTTAGGGGAGTGCCTGGACCCTACCCAGAGTGAAATGACAGACTGTAGATATCCCCTATGTGGAAGGAATTGGCAATAGGGTGGGAGGCTGGGGGGAAAGGGGAGTGTGGGAGGAGGGGAGGGAGAGGGAACTGGGATTGACATGTAAAACAAGCTATTTCAAATTAAAATAAAAAATGATCAAAAAAGGATAAATAGAAGATATTGTGTTTCTTTGGTGGCATAATTTTGTCTTGCTTTTTTCATACCCTTCCCCATGTGGGGTGTGTGTGTGTTTGTGTGTGTGTGTGTGTGTGTGTGTGTGTATGGTGTGTGTGTATGTGTGTGTATGTGTGTGTGTGTGTTTGTGTGTGTGTATGTGTGTGTATGTGTGTGTGTATGTGTGTGTATGTGTGTGTGTGTGTCTGTGTGTGTGTATGTGTGTGTGTTTGTGTGTGTATGTGTGTGTGTATGTGTGTGTATGTATGTGTATGTGTGTGTTTGTGTGTGTGTATGTGTGTATGTGTGTGTATGTGTGTATGTGTGTGTGTATGTGTGTGTATGTGGGTGTGTGTATGTGTGTGTATGTGTGTGTGTATGTGTATGTGTGTGTATGTGTGTGTGTTTGTGTGTGTGTATGTGTGTATGTGTGTGTATGTGTGTGTATGTGTGTGTATGTGTGTGTATGTGTGTGTATGTGTGTATATGTGTGTATGTGTGTGTATGTGTGTGTATGTGTGTGTATGTGTGTGTGTATGTGTGTGTGTGTGTGTTTGTGTGTGTGTGTGTGTGTGTGTGTGTGTGTGTGTGTGTGTGTGGTGTATTCTTGCTTGAGCATGTGCCACAGCATAGGTGGCGAAGTCAGAGAACAACCTCGGCTCCTGGTCATTGTTTTCCTTCTTGTTTGACACAGTGTCTCTTATTGTTTGCACTGCATCTGCAAGGCTAGCTGCCCCACAAGCTTCCAAGCATTCTGTCATCTCTGCTTGCCATCTCACTGCTGTGGTACTGGGGTTACAGAAATGCACTGCCGTATCTGACTTTACATGGTATGACGGCTATTCTTGGTTGTCAGTGTAAACATATATGGAATTAACTAAAACCCAAGCAAGTTCATTCCTTCACTGGCATAAGAGCCTAGTTCTTCAGGATTCTAGTCTTTACTGAAGACCAGCTGACACTTTTAGCTTAGTTGGCTGAGCAACTGAATTCCTGGTTTTCCCACTGATTGTGATTGTTGAAAAATAATGGACTACAACCTGTTAATCATTCTAATCCTTATCTCTGCCTTTATATCTATCTATCTATCATCTGTCTTTCTACCTATCTACCTAATTATCTATCATATCACCATCCATCTACCTATTTATCTATCTTATCAGTTCTGTTCCTTTAGAGAATCCAACTAACACACTTGGAATCTAGGAATCTGAAGTCAGGTCTTATACATGCAGAACAAATGTTTTACCCATTAATCTCCCCATCACTACAACAATTTGTTTTAAAAAAGAAAGATCTCTACTTCATCGATGATGTTAATAGTTTTAATGTAATGATTCTATATATTTTCTTTATTCTCAATAAGTTTTCTTAGAATATTCTTTTCTTTTTCTGGCATTTCCTCGACTCCCTTTGCAGTGTTCATTGACAGGAGATTTTCCGTTTTCTTGGTGGCATAATTTTGCCTTGTATTTCCACATTTCTTGATCCTCTTTGATACATCTAGTGTGTCAGTGTCTAACCAACTGGGTAGGAGAATTAATCAGGAAAATATTTTTCCTGAGGGTATTGGTATTGCCTTAGAGGCTGAATAGGCTTTGGTTCTGCTTGAATATCAATGGTGTCTCCACAAACTAAAACTGAAGACTGTGAGGACTTTATGAACGTGCTAACAAATTCAGAGACCTTGATCTACAGCAGGTTACACAGGGTGATGGTATTTTAATAGCCAAAGAGGTACATATAATTTGTGGTACAGTGATTGAGCCACTCAAGCAGGCTTTGAGGGTGAACCATAAGTTGAAGGTGGGATGAAGTGTGATTAGCTTGGCACCATTACAATGGCACCATGCATCAGTAACTTTCATAGGGGAGGGAGCTATGTAAATAGAGGTACCCATGTGAAACAGTGCGATGGTGTGCATTCCATTGCAACTCTTTCTGGAGCTCAAAACCATTGATGGCTGTAGTATAGCCTTACAGAAAAATCCATGACCTTGTGGTTCTGAGTCTGTATGTACAATTTCTGAGTGGTAAGAGTATTTCTTACATTCAAACAAGCTCAGGTTGGGCCTCAAGAACACAGTATGCAAGGTTCTTTGTTCCCTTCTCCACCTGACCATCTGGAGCCTCCATTTTCCATAATTCACTTTCATGTGCATTATATTCCAGCATTCTCCATATATTCTCAGCAAACATCATCGTCTTGTTCTTTGGTTTTATTTCTTAATAGAGGAGGAATTGTCTTGTATCTCTCATTAGCTATCTTTTTTTTGGCAAGTCTGCATCTCAATTTATGGTACAAAATACTTTGGCATATTTGGTGTTGGTGAGTGGCACAGCTTCTATTAGGAAAGACACTGAACCACCAGAATAATTTGCATAACCTGTTACAGACTGATTGTCTCCCCTTCCCCCCCACCGCTGTCCTGAAATCATATGTTAATAGTTCAACCCTTCAGTGGGATTACGTTAGGAGGAAAGACTTTGAGAGGCATCTATGGTTAGACTGGGTCATTAAAATGGAACCCAAATGATAGGGTCATAAGAAGACGTGACAAGGGAACAATTCTCTGCCCGCATACACCACAGAAGGTGACCAGGAAGAATGCTTTCACTGAGGGTCTGGCCATAAGGACACCTGAATCTCAGACATCAGTCACTAAAGTATGAGAACAAAATTCTGTTGTTTAATCCACCTAGTCTATAGAAATATAGCAGGCCAAATATTAAGACACCACTCCCTGCCATGACAAATTTTCCCCATTCCTCTGTGTCTCTCTTTCAGTCTTATAAATACATATAACTATTTATTTGTATTTTATTTCAAGGATGATAAAACATAGGCTGGGGAATGGGCAATGAGATAAACAGTCAATAATAGTAATACTAAGGACAGTCACGGTGAAGCTATTATGGGTTCTTGGAAATGTCAAGCAGCAATAAATGTCTTTTTTTCAGAAAGAATTTATTAAATGGCTTTTGATATTGATGTGGAGTAAATCAGTCATCTGGAAATCACAACATTCAAAAACCTATCAATATAGAGAAATCCCTTCATCTTCACTGGTTGTGGCACAGAATTAAATAACTTCTTTAGTATTTTCTCAAGGAGTCTGACTAAATAGGATTTTTAGGAATTTCTGTTATTAGTAAGGCTATTGGGATCTCTATGGTTATTCTTTCCCCCTCTTTGTCTTTATTTAAGCATAAATATTTTGAATGTTTGCCTTACATGTATACTTGCTCACCACATGTCTGGCTTGTCCCTGTGGAGGTCAGGAGAGGGTATCAGATCCCCTGGAATAGGAGTTATAGGCTACTATGAGATACTATGTGGGAATCAAACCCAGGTCCTCTGTAAGAGCAGCCAGTGTTCTTAACCTCTGAACCATCTCTCCATTCTAGCTCCTTACCCCTTTTCTGGAGTTCTGGAGACTGAACCTGAGATCTCAGGCATGTGAGGCAAACATTATACCACAGAGCCTTTGCCCCAAACTTTCCTTCTGTTTTTTTTAATGAAAAAACTTTGTGTGTGTACATTTGCATGTGTGATTGCAGGCATGAACATGACATGGCATGTATACAGAGGTCAGAGTACAAATGTTGGGTGTTGTTTTTTTACCTTCCACTTGCTTGTGTCAGGGTCTCTTACTCACTGCAGCACATGGCAGGTTATCTGGCCCCAAAGCTTCCAGGATTCTCTGTCTGTCTTCTATCTCACCATAGGAGTGTGTGGATTATAGAAGCTTAGCTGGCTTTATGTGGCCTCTGGGGGTCTGACTCAGGTCTTCAGACTTGCAAGGCAAGTGCTTTATCTGCTGAGCCATCTCTTTAGCCCAGTTATGGTTTCCCTTTGGGTATTGCTATCAAGAGAGGACACAAGTATCAAATTCAATGTTATAGAGGTCATCATTACCAAGAAGTCACAGCAGCAGCTGGTGGCAGCTATGGCCACTCCACCCACAGTAAAAAGGTAGAGAGCAATGGATGAATGCAAGTATGCCGCTGCTTAGCTCTTCTCTCCACATACACAGTCAGGGATCACCAACTAGGGAATGGTATCACGCACAGTGGGCAAAGCTTCTCACTACAATTAACATCAGCAGAATAATTCCCCAAATGCAAGCCCAGAGGTTCATCTCCTATATGATTCTAGAGTCTGTAGACAACACTAACCATCACAGTGTTAAACATAAAACTGGATACTGATTTATAGTAAAGTAACTCAAGTAAAAGTGTAATTAATTGATCTGAGGGTTTATTGAAAGTGAGGTTATGGCTTTTAGCTCTCAGCTTTTTTACACATATCTGATCCCCTGGCTACTGCTAATGTAATATGACCACTAAGTAATGGTAAAAACCGGATGACCTGAATAAGCCCAGTATATTGTTTTGCAATGTTAGTATCCTATTTTTTCCATCACCGATTCTGATTTTTGGCAGCTACAGGATTTCAGACTATTCAGAAATCAAGTTGTTCCTTAAACATATCTCTCTGAGAAGAGCATTCGCATCATCTGTCACCATGTCAAGGAAATGCAATTTCAGGCAAAACAATTCTTTAACATAGACATTCTTTGTAACTAAGTGTCCATTAGTCAAACAGAATTCCTCATAAAGCCTCGAAAGTCTTTCTTGTATTGTTTCTTTCTTTGGAGTTTCAAACACGTTAGGAGATTTCATCTTTGCCTTGAGCTGATCCACCGACACTTTCCAGTCCTTAGCCAGACTCTCCAAGGCTGCATCATCTACTCCAAACACAGTTCGAAAGTAGTCCATGCTGCCCTTAAGAGTCTCCACATCACTGCCCAGTAAGAAGGTCAGTGAAGGGACAAAATTCAGTAGGTCTCTCCCAAAGGCTTCGAGCCAAATCCTCTGCTTCAGGAACTGCCGCTTCCTTTCAATGGCTGCACTGGTAATATTCGGCAAGGAGAGCATAAAATTGTGTCTTTTGTGTACAGGGAGAGTATTCACTACCTTGTCCATCAGGCTTGGGAAATCATAGTCAGATAAACTTTTGTTAGAGATCAAGAAGATTGGTGGTTTTTCAATGTTATTCTCCAGAAAGCTCTTAACACAGTTGTTGCGGATTTCCTGCAGGACTTTCTCTCTATCAAAGGTTCGTGGTTTGAATTCTTTTTCATTTTTTATGTCAGAGTCCACCTTGGTTCTCACGAAGTAGAAATCCTTCTTCATCAGGCTGATGGCTTTGGCTAGGTCTATGTCATTTTTCTTAAAGCGTGTGGCAGAAACTATGATGAAGAAGTCATATTCATTGAATTTCATTTTCTCCAGGTAGTCTTTGGGTGGGAACGTTGTGCTTCCAATGCCAGGCAAGTCCCAAATCACCACATTGGGAATATTGGGGTGTTTGTATGGATGTCTGTTCATGGTCGTTTCCACCACTCCAATTTCAGCTGCATTTTCCTCTTCATGCCCAACCCCTCTCAGCGCATTGATGAAGCTGGACTTCCCTGCTCCAGTCTCACCAGTCACAGCAACATTGAGTGGGGTACTGTCAATTTCTTTTAATGCATCAGTGATTGAAGAGTTTGCCCCCTGAATGTTTCCTCTTGTCAGGCTTGACCCAATTGAAGCCAGAGTTTCCTGAGGAATGATTGTGTCTACTGTCTTAAACTTCTTAAAATATTGGGTAAAGCTGGAGGCCAAATCTTCATGCTGTTCATCCTTAGGTGAAGAAAACAGCTGACCCATGACTGACAGCTAATAAATGGAACTGAAAGAAAGAAGGCTGAATCAGGAAGGTGTGTATGCAATTTAAGATCTATATTTTAGCAAATTTCAAGTATATTGTCACAAACCATCCTTAATGGCTGTAATTATACATCCAATCTCCCACTGTGTTTATTTTACACTGCTGTGACTTTTTGTCCTTTGACTAGCATCACCCTATGTCACTCTCCCCAAAGCTTTGCCCGCCACCCTCTATGAGTTTAGCTTCTCTAGATTTCACCTGTAAGGGACACAGTATGGCCATTCTTTCTGCAGGTGGATGAGACCATCACACAAGCATTTAATAGTTTATTCTCCATTGTTTCTTCACAGAGCCATCTTACCTTTTCAGCCTGCTCTGTGCTTCTATGTAGCCTGCATCAGCAGACACCCTCGCCTTCTAGCTTCCAGTATAATTCAACTGTATCTGATCATGGCCTCCCTGTTGCCCTGCTTGGGCTGCACATCTGACTATACATGCATCCATCATCTTTGTAACCTATGCTATTTGGCTTTTGCGAACTGTCCACTACTCATGGTATTTTTAAGGAAAATATTTTCTTCTTATTCCTTCAGCTTAGATCTGATAATGACTCTCAAATTTTCTGGCCTCTGGTTGTCACATAGTTCCTTATTTTTATGCTTGGAATATCCAACTTTCTGAATTTGTTCTTTGATTGAAGTCTCTTCATTTGAATGTTTATTGATGAATCCTTCCTGATCTGTAATATATAACACTTTTCCAATACAGAGTTGGATTGAAGGACAATGGCCAAGTCTCTTTCTAAGGTGAAATGGGACCAAACATTACAAAGTATAACACATATTTGCATCTGGTATAGTGTCTACCAGTCCAGTCACCAATGCCACACAGATACATCCTAGGACCAATTTCCTTTGATAACACTTAGCCACCCTGAATAACTGAATCAACAACCAAGCCAGAAAAAGTACTGCTAGAGACATCAACAATCCCAGTGGATGCTGTGGACACAGATGGTACAAGTAGGACACTTAAAGCATTACAAATGAACACAGAAAACATGTAAAGGAGACAAACAATAGCGTAGTCAGTAGGCTCAGTTAATATAGGTAATCATAACTCTGAACTTGGATTTCACAATTGTATAAACAGTTGGGTTATGTGCAGAGGTTTGGTTCATGGATAGCCCAGTGTAAAAGGGAGAACTGGAAGGTATTAGGTCAGCTTCCGTGAAGACAGCAGGTGTAGATAGACACGTATAATTCAGTTCTGGTAGTTTTTCATGTAGCATCCCATAGCCCACAAAGTCCTTGAAACCAGGAAACAGATGTCATTGGAAAAGTGGCCTCTCATCCTTTGGGTGTCATTAGACTCTAGTCCTTGGGTTCGTGTAAAATCTGGATACAAGAAACTATCACGAGATGGAAAACAGGTGAAGCCACTGGCATTCCTATAAAATATTTGGGTATCCTGAACACTGTTCAGCAATGTAAGATCAGACTCCGTGTATGGATGCTCAGATAGGACAAGAACATTTGTCAGTTTGTTGTTGACTAAGCAAGGCAGGCGCCTTCATGGGCAATTTCTGCATTCAACCCGTGAAAACTATCCTTTTCTTTATTGCCAGTTAAAATGTTATTGTGATAGCTGGGGATTCCCAGAGGCATTTCTGTCCATCAGTTTAGGTTGAGTATGATCAGGTAATGCAATGCTATAATGAGCATGTTAAAAGTTGGCCTACCCCTGTATGAATATTTGGACCCCACGAATAAAACTGTCATGCTTCCTTATTGGGGAGTGAGTCAGAGCATCACTTTGGAGATAACTCCTGTGCTAGCTTTGCCTGACTTAGGTAATAAGTGTTTGTCCACTGTGTTATGTTTGGCTTGTTTATTTTGGCTTTTAGTTAACTAAGACATGAACTCAGTGCACTTGGTTTTTATTGCTGGTTATTCCAAAGGGGCCTATCTCAGGAAGGGCCCCTCTCCACTGCCATAGATAAATCAGGGAAGGGACACACCTCAGAGAACTGGATTTCAGCTCTTGTATAGTCTGCCGGTCCTGAGAAAGCTTTTGGCCTCTTTCTGAATCTTCAAAAGTTTTTCCAATCTGGCCAGTGTTGTAGGACCCTTGAGCCAGCTCTTCTAAAGAGGTCTCAGGTCGGTGGAAGAAATCCTGGGCTTAATTTCTGGCAATCTAAAGTGTTAGCCAGGGCCACCTCATTTTGTAAAGCAACCACATTTTGGTTAGACTATAATCATTTCAGAAATGATAGTGATTTGGTTTTCATGACTAAAATCACCTCACCCCTAGATTCTTGCTCCTCCCACCCAGAGATGCTTGACTGCAAGCACACACTACAGGCTTCTCATCAATCTAATGGCACGGAAACACCTCTTTCTGAGACTCATAAGGAGGGTCTCCCACTCTGCCATGTGAGCCTGATCTCAGAGCCTCTGCTATACTGCTGTCTGCCTGTCCATCTACGGCATTAAAATCCATGTACCAAGTGTCTTACTCAAATAACAATCTGCCCGGTGCACTTCTTGAACCCCAGACCTGGGATGTTTCCTAATATTACAGACATGGAGTTTCTCATCCTATAGATCAGTGTAAAGGAATCACAGGAGGAAAGGTGGGATCTGTGTTTGTTTTACTAATTGGATGATTTGCTCTTCATGTTCCAGAACATCCAAACATGTGACTTTTCAACTCAGTTTGACATCAAATGTTGAAATCAAAATTTCAACTGAGTAAAGAAATAGTTTTCATGTTGACTGGTTTCTTTTTCAACTTTATCCCACATCCTGTTTAGTCATTCTGTTTAGGGTACTACATACTGAGACATAAGTTTTCTAATTTGCTTCAAGAGAAAATTCAAAATTTAAACAATAGATTTAAGACTGAAACTCACTCAGTGATACTGAAAAGAACAACCAGAGAGGAAGACTTTAAAAATACCCTGATGGAGCCGGGTGGTGGCAGTGCGTGCCTCCCGGGAGGCAGAGGCAGGCAGATCTCTGTGAGTTCAAGACTAGTCTGATCTACAAGAGCTAGTTCCAGGACAGCTTTCAAAGCCACAGGGAAACGCTATCTCGAAAATCCTAAACAAAACAAAACAAAAACAAAAAGAAAACAACCTGACAGGATAAATTTAACACAAATTTTTTGGTTTTCTTAAAGTGTATTTGGTGTATGATTATATGCATGTGTATATTGTGTTATGTCCACATGTGCACTTATGCTCATACACTGCTTACACGGCACCAAAGGGCCTTGTAGAGGGCATTATGCTAAATTAAAACTGTTAGATTTGCCTAAACACTTTTTAGTTCACATAATATAAATAAATCTTTGACAAATAACTTAGATTTGGTGGTGAAAGGTGAGTTTACCTTCAGAGTTGCTAATGTGTATTTTTTTCTGGGCTGCTGGCCCTTGCGTTAATAATTGCTGAATATTCCAATGCTCTTTGCTTTCCTAAGATAGATTGTGGCTGGAAATATTACGGGGAACTCCCTATAAGACAAAGTTTCTACTCAGAGACAATGGCGACCTTAGCGTAGCTAAAACTGGAAAGTGAGCACAGCCACTGCCCAGAACAGCATCCACAACTTCGTTTAAGTTTCTTAAGGTCAATAAATGGTCCGAGTTAAATCTTCACTGCTTTTGAATTTAAAAGCACAACTCTATTCTGGCTTGTCTTTCTGGGGTATGAGCTGTGTAGCCTCTAGTTTAAGGTATCTGTGTGTTCTGTTGTCTGTGTCCCTTCAGAGCTCTGCTGCTGCAATGTGGGGATATAGCCTCAGCTTTTGTAACAGCTCCTAGGACCTGTTCTGACAAATTGGTCTGATTATGCTTATGACCCTATGATAAAGCAATTAGATCATAGCCCTCCCAGTTTGTCAAGGCAACAGAAACCATTTGTACTAAAAGTTGTTTATTCATATCATTATGTCTTATAATCTTAAAAAAGTAAAAAGATCCAATAAGTAGGATAAAAATGTTTAAAAGGTTGTAAGTATGCTGTTATGATTTTAGAAATGTTAAAGGAAAGGGATTTTTAAATTGGGTTTATACTAAGGTAGAAGATGAGTACAGAGTAAAACATGTGTATATTTATAACTGAGTTAGCTATAGTTGTAGGTTATTAAAATTCCTAGGGTCAAGTTCAATATGCTGATACAAATCTCAAATCTAGTCTTATTTATATCAACAAGGTTCTCTTAAGATACTGATTTGCTTTTGGTAACATTTACAAAAGTAGACCATAAGATAAAGGCTGTGATAAACTACAAAAAGCCTGTATCTAACAGAAACTCATGGTTAGTAAATAATACGTTTTTATATAATATTATGGGATTAGATATCTTAATACCTAAAACGATATGGACTTTTTTGGGCAAAATTTTCTAAACTTTATATTTCCTTAAGGTAACTATTTCCATTTCCTCCCTAAAGCCTGACTGCTTACAGGGACCGGCCCTCAGCCCCAGCACTTCTAGCAACGAAACAGAGCACCAAGCAATAATGTCTACAGAGCCAAAAGCCTGCTCCCCATACTCAGAAAAATGGTGACCCTACAGGGTGGTGAAGATGGCACTCAGCTCCTGGCTTCCTCGCTAGACAATTCCTACTAAAATACCAGGGTCCCCTCTGAATTTTGTTACTCATCTCCCAAGCTGGGTAGACATCCAGATTCTATTCTCAGTAGGCCTCATGCAAATCTAATGGAGAAAGGGTGGGGGACGGGTGAGGGTTCAGACTTAAGCTTTTCTGATAGCTACTGAAATTAACTATTTAGTAATAAATTTGGCCAATTGCAAAAGCTGACTGGATCCTGATGAAAATGAAAGTAATTACATGTATCATAGCAATCATGAGTCTGGATCTAGTGTATTTAGCTTGGTGAAAGCTATCAAGATAGAAGTTTCTGGGGATCTTTTTACAAAACCCTCCCATCCTTTTGGTCCCCATTCCTTGTTCTAATTATGCACACTCTAAAACTGTCTGGGGACAGCAAGATGATTGACAGCTAAGGACACTTTTCACTAAGCCAGATGATCTGAGTTCTAATCCCAAGACTCACAACTTGTTCTTTCACTCCCACATGCACACTCTAGCATTTTGGTACCTAGCCCCAGTGCATGAGAACACAGAAAATGAATAAATGAATGCAATCACGTAACACATGAAACACACTGTACAAAGAGCTACTAACTAGGAAAAGGAAAATGAACAACAAAAACTTGCCTTAAATGTCTTGCACTGAGTATGAATACAATAAATGACAGTGATATGAAATATCAATCATTACAAGAGGATGATTTCTTCATGAGCACTCCAACTGTACATTAAAAACCATGAAGTTAAACAGGGTTCCCTAAAAATATGCCCCACAGCATCTACTACTGCTCTTTTGATAAATGGATACATTGGCAAATTTCCTTCTAAATATTTCTGATTTTATTAGTGATTAGTGATTCTCTCAGCCTCTCCCAGACAAGGGTTTTGCTGTTGTTGCTGCTTATTTCCCATTTGTCTTGTTTTTGCAGCAAGTAGTGTTTTAATGCACAGTCTCATAACTAGTCAAATCGGTGAGAGTAAGTGGTGGTTGAGTGCTCCTTCCTAAATATAACAGGGGCATCTTTATCAAACCCCCACCTGAACCAACTTCAGGAAACACCATGGAAGAGCCAGAGGATGGGGCAGGGGCAATCTTCTGAATGTCACATGGCATTTACACATATGAACTCATGGCAGCTGGGGTTACCTGCAGGAGATTTACAGACAAGATCTGTCTATATTTCAGTGTGAACAAAACCATGAGCACATGAGGCCTTTTCCTTAGCTGAGAAGATTAGGATTAGTCACTGGTGGGGGAGAGTCATTGTTCTTCAGCGATGTGGTCACTACAAAGTGACCCATGGTCAAGTAAATAACCCCACACCGGAACTTGCAGTGATCCTGATTACAATCAGTGGTGTATTAGAAAAAAAGACAAGAAAACATAGGCAATCATGGGAGAAAAGAAAGGATGCTAGATAGAATAAGAGCGGAAAGAGAGGGAGGAATAATGGGGGAAGATGTTAATATGTATGAAATTGTCATACAGTAAATAAAAATATTTTCTAAAAAAATCCTAAAATTGTTTCCCATCAGGTTATAGCAGAAGCACCTTACAGAGTGCATCATTCATCCCAATCCAGCTTCTACTGGAGTTTAGAATAAATATGCTGAACTAGGTACAAAGAAGCAAGAAAAAGTGTACTAGGAAGTAACAGGAATGAGGTACAAAATTTTCCATATATTCTATAGTGACATTTCACAACACATATCCTGAAAGGTTCATTTGCATCTACTCTAGGGAGTAGAGGTGCTCAAAACAAAACTCCAAACCAAAACAACTAGGTAAATTTTAAACGATAACTCGGTTATTTATTTCAGGTCTATCTAAACTTGAAGATTACCTAAGAACATCTCTAAGTCAGCCCCTGCCTCCAATCAAAGACCCCTCGCTTCTAAACTGAGGATCCCAGCTCTGAGGATATGTCTCTACATTATGTCTACACAGGCTCCCTAAGAGAGTAAGGAGAATGAGGGTGAGAATCCAGATCTGAATGTAAAGTTACCAGGCAATCCTGCGTCCAGAGGATGCTCTCCCTGCAAGGGACAGAGGACTAACTCTCAGCTGCTGCTGCGACACTCCACTGACACTCCACTCCGAACTCGACCTCTGCTTCTTCAGCAGAAACAAGGAAGTTGAGCAGCACTTAAATATTCTTTGGCTTTTGTTCCACCTCCAGAGTGTGGCGCCAATCACAGAGGAGAGTGGGTTGAGTTTCATCCCAGAATCTCCTGCATTTACAAGAAATGGAAAGTGAAACTCACTTTTGTTTTTCTTCAGTGATTCTAGAATTCAAGGAAGTGGAAACTGTCCTGACATAACAAAGCTGTATTTACCCTATGACTTAGCCAGTGAGAGGAGCTCCAGGAGCAACTTACTAACTAGGTTAGATCTTTCATGACCTGTTATGGTTCAGTTTCTTTTGACTTCTGTGCTGAATAGTTTTATGTCAGCTTGACAAAAGCTATAGCTTAATTGAGGGAACCTCAATTAAGAAAATACCTCCATAAGACTGGGCTTCAAGGCAAGTCTGCAGGGCATTTTAAAGTTGGTGATTGATTTGGGAGGGCCTAGCCCCTTGTGGGTGATGCCATCCTTAGGTTGGTAGACCTGGGTTCTACATGAAAGCAGGTTGAGCAAGCTATGGGGAGAAAGCCAGTACTTAGCAGCCTTCTATGACTTCAGCATCAGCTCCTGCCTCCAGGTTCCTGCCCTGTTTGAGTTCTACTCCTGGCTGCCTTTGATGATGAACAGTGGTATGTAAGTGTAGGGAAAAGGGACCAGTCAAAGAAACACACTCTGAGCAGAGCCAAAGAAACACACTTTGGCCCTGCAACCAGAACCAAAGAAGTGTACCCTGACCCTGAAACCAGTGCCAAAGAAACACACTTTGTCCCTGGAATCAGAGTCAGTGAAACAAATGCACCCTGGCCCTAAAACTAGAGCCAAAAGGCTAAAAAGGAGCAGTGAAAGAAACACACTTTAGCCCTGAAACCAGAGCCAAATCTTACCCTAAACCTGTGCAGAAAACTAACCAATCCCTGAGCAGGAGATTAAGATCTGACCAATTCCCACCCTGGAAACCCTATATAAACCCTGTGTCTGTTCAGCTTGTGGCTGTTCATGCTACACGGCTGTCCTCTGTCAGAGCAGCCACTCTCCTGGTTTCTTCCCTCCCAATAAACCCCTTCGATGAACTTTGGGTGAAGACCTTCTTTTGCCGCAGAGCAGAGACTACCCAGGGCAAGGTAGAGCACATGGGGCTGTAACTCTTGCAGGGGTACCTTCCCCTGGCAGAGCAGAGTTGTTGCACACAGCTCTCCACTCTCCTGGGAACAGATCTGAACTACAGCAACTTCGCCTCAGAAACTTTCTCCTGCCGGAGCAAAACTGCTACACTGGGCAAACATCCCCAGCTGGAAGATCCGCTCCTGCTGAAACAGAGCTGATAACACTAGGAAAGCCTTTCCCTGAGGCAGGGCTGTAAACTGCTATGCTTACTGTGGCCTGTGGTAGTCCTTGGCTCCTGAGCTCCAGGATACCTTTCCATCTGAGCTGTGACTCCTGAGTGCCAGAATACCTATCCAACCCAATCTGTCCAAAATGCCTACAGTCAGTCTAAGCCAAATAAATTCTTTGCTCCCCCAACTTGATTTTTGGTCATGGTGTTTTATCACAGCAATAGAAACTGTAAGACAAGTTGGTAACAGGATCATGCAGTATTGCATTGTGAGAGACCTGACATGTTGTTTTGAGAAGGATTGTGAAAGGGCCTTGTAACTTTGGTCTAAAAATCCATAAAGAGTTCAAAACTTGATAACCTTTTCTGTGGAAGCTTGGAAGATAAGAATATTGAGAGTAAAGCAGACAATGGAGGCCAGGCATGTGAAGCTCCAGAGGGAAGTTTTAGAGTCACTTAGAGACTAAAGATGAGAATTTGTGGTTCTGGTTATCTGGTGCTGAAGAATTAGCTGTAATTAACAAGAGAACAGAGCTACTGGAATAAGTCTTTGCTTTCCTGGACAATAGACGCTAGCTAACAGAAGCTAAGAAATTAGCAGTAATTAAGAAGAGACCAACATCACTGAGGCAAAATCTTTTGGGAAGTGTTTCCTCAGGGTCATTGCTTAGGAGCTGTGTTCCAGAGGCCATCAAGGTTTTACCACACTCACTGGTAGTCAAACTTGATCAAGCGCAAGAGTCTCTCAGGTGGTACTAATTTTGAAAGTGAAGGGCTCGTGCTTGGCACTGTGAGAGATCAAGATACAAATCTAGTACATGAGCTCTTTGTTGGAACCCACTCCTTAGGGTGGGATGCCATGCTCAGTCTTAATGCAAGGGAGAGAGGATGTCCCTGTCCCAACCTATTGTGCCAGACTATGTTGACTCCTCATGGCAGCCCTTACCCATGTGAAGAGTGGACTGGGGATGAGCTAGAGGAGAGGTGAGGGGGAGTGGGAGGGAGAAATGTGGTTGGAATGCAAAATGAAATATAAAAGTAAAAAAATAAAAAAGTTTTTTAAAGGCATTTCCTGAATCTATTGGCATGACCATGTGATTTTTGTCTTTAAGTCCTTTTATGTGATTTACTACATTTATTGACTTGTGGCTGTTGGACCATCCCTACATCATCTCAGGTATAAAGCCAACTTGGTCATAGTGGATATTATTTTTGATGTATATCTGTTTTTTGCTTACAAATATTTTTTGAGCATGTTTGAGTCTGTGTTCATCAGGAATAATAGCCTGTAGTTCTCTGTCTCTCTGTCTCTCTCTGTCTCTCTGTCTCTCTGTCTGTCTGTCTCTCTCTCTCTCTCTCTGGCGCTCTCTCTCTCTCTCTCTCTCTCTCTTTCTTTTGGTTTGGTTACTGCTGTGATACTGGCTTCATAAAGTGTTGTAGCACTACTTCCCTCCTTCCCTCTCTCCTTCCCTTCCTCCCTCCCTCTTTCTTGTTTTTCTTTCTTTTGAATTTATTAAAAATATTGGTTATAGATCTTTGAAAGGCCGGTGAACCCATCTGGCCCTGGACTTCCTGAAGCAGGAAACTTTTTATTATAATTTCAATCTCATTTATTACAAGTCTGTATTGGTGACTTGGCTGAATCTAGAAACTCACCCATTTCTTTAAGTTTTCCAACTTAATGGAGTACAGGGTTTTAAAAATATTCCCTTATAATATTCCAAGTTTTTTGATGTCTATTGTAATGTGTTTATGTTCATTTCTGATTTTGTTATTTGGGTCCTCTCTTTCTTTTGATTAGTTGAGCCAAGTGTCTGTCAATGGTGTTTATCTCCTCAAAGAACCAGCTCTTAGATTTGCTGATTCTTTGTATTGTTTCCTTGGTATTGTTTATGTTTCTTTGGTTTCTGCTCTGGTTTTTATTATTTCTTGCCATTGACTGGCTTTGGATTTGGTTTGTTTTTTTCCAGTGTTTTCAGTTACATCATTGAATCATTTAATTATGATCTTTCTGATTTTTTAGTATAGGCAATTGGAGCTGTTAATTTACTTCATAAGATTGTTTCCCATGTGCCCCAACGGTTTTGTTGTATTGTGTCTTAATTTCCATTTAGATTCTGGAAATGTTTGTGTTTTTCTTGATTTCTTCTTTGACCTATTCATATTTGCTTAATCGCTATGAGTTTGTGTTTTTGCTTGAGATTTGGATGATGTTAGTTTTAGGTTTTATTTATAGAATAAAAAGAGTAATTTCAATATTTTTGCATATGCAAATATTTGTTTTGTGTGTGTCCCAGTTTGCTGGCTGAGTACAATAGATGTATTCTTTGGTATCTGGGTGGAATATTATGTAGATACCTGTTAAGTCCATTAGATATATATGTCAATTGATTCTGATATTTCTCTGTGTATTTTTTGTTAAAATGACCTGTTGATTGCAGAGGGGTACTGAAACCACCTAATTAAACTATTTCTTCAAATCCAGTATTGTGTGTGTGTGTGTATCTGTCTGTCTGTGAAACTTGGTGCACAAGAGTTTTGTACATATATTTTTAGAATAAAAATATCTTCTTGGTTAACTGTTCCCTTGATTAGAATGAAGTGTTCCTTTTGTCTCTTCTGGTTAGTATTAATTTGAAGTCTATTTTATCAGATGTTAGGATAGAAGGTTTTTTTAAAATAGTGTTCCACATCTCCTGTATGTTCCATTCTGTGTCTTAAAAATAATTTTTTCAAGTTCTTTGCATGTTTTATCTAGACTTTCTCCTTTCCCCTTGAGACCTGATATTCCATCTTCTCCTTGATTCCTTCTTCTTGCAAAGATTTCCTTTGAGTCGTCTAGTTGAGCCATTGGGTTTCTCAACACCAACTTTATTCCATTTTGAATACATCTCAGCATTTCTATCTTCAATTAAATTCCATTCTCATGTCCTGGCTTGTCTTTCTTCTTTCCATTAGCCTCATGTTTATGTTTTCTTGGGCAGCACTTGTTTCCCCCCCCCCTTAGGTTTTTTTTCCTTTATTTTATTGGCATGCTTTTGAATATGTGTATGTTTTCTTTAAACTTCCTGTATTATTTGTTGAAGTTAATGATGGTACTTACAAAGGTCCTGAGGTTCATTTAATAATTCTCAATGGCAAACATTTATATAGGACTGGTAGGTTTTGGAGAGAAGATACAGGCTTGATTTTTCATATTGTTGGCATTTTTGCAATGAGATTGGACATGCAGATTTCTTTATTTTTGTTCTAAGTCTGGTTTTGACAAACAGGTTGGGGCAAAAGAGAGCATGTTAGGGCAGAGTGGGCCTATAGTTTGGAAATGGATTGTGTAGAATGAAGTCAGAATATCAGAAGGGACTGATGGGGAAATGCTGTGTATATGTAAATAAAGCACTGTTGGCCAATAGGGAAGCAAGATAGGTGGCACTAAGAGTCTAGGAGGATTCTGGGAAATGTATTGAAGCAAGCCTTTGCCATGTGATTCCCAGGAAGAGGGGATGCAAGTCTGTGTTCTCAGAAACATAAATCCTTATAAAAATATATATTGGTGATTATGGATCAATAAATAAGTCAGAGCTAGCCAGTGAGAAACAATAGCAAATGGCCAACAACTTCATAATTAATATAGCGTCTTGTGTGTTATTTGGGGGCTCAGACAGCTCAGCAGGGCCCAGGCGGCTGGCCGGAAGAAT